ATCGTAATGTCTTAGAGTACTAGATTTGTAAAAATAATCATTTATAATTTCGAATGAAGCTAACTCTTCATCTCCGAGTTCTTCTCTAATGTTAATTTCGAAAGGTATTTTCTTTTTCTGGTTTTCTTTTCTTTCAGAATGCTAACTTCAAATTACTGTTATCAATATTGCATTTGCTGAAGATGTTCTGTTTCCTCTTCCGGCAGTTATTGATATTGATGGAGTTAAAAAAAAAAATTTATTTGAGTATCCTGGTAGGGTTCTAAAAATGAACCCTAGTCCTAACTTTCTTTTCATATCGATATATTTCGCTATAATAGTATAATATTTTTAGAGGACCTTTTTTTAGAATCCTATCAGGAACTGTATGCAAATCGATTTTTTTTCTGCCTATCAGGAACGGTGCCGAAGATTCATCAAGAGCGGCATTTTTGCGTTGTTGATCTGTTAGCCTGTATGGTGTATCAAAACTTTTGTATCTAATATATTTTATTACTATATTTTTCTTAATATTTTATTATTACCGTAATTTTCGAAATAGTATCCACTTGTTAAAGTACCCGCCCACCGTCAATTTTGTCAAGTAGTAAATTGCCGGTCCCATAGGGGTTCTAATCAATTTTTAAGCTCTAGGAATGTAAGAAACTCTGGGTATTATTTGCTAAAAATTACGGTAGTATAATAGCAGTCATTAGGTATTTGCACAATAATTCCTTTTAATTAGTTAAGTTTTATTTTTAGCACCCATTGCTACATTTTTTTTATATAGCTAAACTCATTGCTTATTTACAGTATTACATGACGCCGATAATCCTTAAACAATATCCGCAGTTCGCGTTTTGCGTTCTCAATCACGTGTAATATATGCATATGATTTGTTAAGTACATCGATTATAGTTGAATCATTGAAAATTTTTATTTTTTCTTTTTTTTTGGATTAATATAAAAGTAATATTTCATATCATACAAAATTTAGCAAAGCTTGCCAAGAATTTGAATTTTTAATTAAGGCACATATAATTATCAGAGTTTAATAAAAACTACAATTAAAATAGATTATTTCCTAGGCGATTTTCTGTTAGTAATGTTTGCAAGATGAGTTAAACTTTTAAATATCGCTTGTGTGGATGAAGAAGGTGAATTATCTTTACTAGTCGACATTTTCATACAATTTTTTAACCATCTTGAAAGAGTTTTAAAACTTTCTAATTTAGCATTGTCTACGTTGTAATTTAGGACTGAATTTGCAGGTGGATTCAAATAAGAATCTATGTTGACTCTATCGATAATATTTTTTTGTAACCATCTTAAATTATCAAAATTATTTTGTTTCCAAGATATATATGCGAATTCTTCTAATACATTAATGTCAAGAAGCGAAATGTCTATTGAAGGATTTGTTGACTTATGATCAAGAGTAATTGGCGATGAAAGTGAATGGAAATTTAAAACTAAATGGTTTAGAACTTCTTTAAATAGTGTAAATTCCTTCTTACGAATTAAATATTTGATATAAATATAGCCAACTTCGATATCTTTCACGCGATATGGAGGATGTGGTAGTTTTATAGTAATACTTTGTTCTGATGAAACTGATGCTTGATTTAAAGAAGTGGATGACGGTGAATGCTTGGTTGATGGTTTTGTGGTTGTCTTGAGAGTAGGTGAAGATACAGAAAATGCACGCGATAAGTCTTTATCAAACCCGAAATGTTCGTTCCTCCAATCTACAAACACTTCCCAAGTTTGGTGAATGTTTAAATCATCCGAATTATCGATTAAAGATTTTTTCACTAAATGATTTAAAACCACTTTCCAAAATTCAAAATTGATTGATTTTCTCTTTGTCTCTAGAATTTGGCTCATCAAAATTTCGCCATCTCTATGTAATTCTGGTAATCTGAAGCATGTGCCTAGAATTAGCATTTGCAATTTAAAATTTATATCCTCTTCATTAAGACTTATATTTACATCATTTCTAAGCATTCCAACATTATTC